TTGTTCACCTCTTCCACACTCACATTACGGAATTAAAAAAACTATACTTGTCTTTCATAATTTGGTCAGATACAGTATACTTAGATGTGTAGTGTCAGCAATTCTTGCTGGCATGTCATACCTAAGGTTGCTAATCTTTCCAATTAAAAAAATATTAAAGTAGTTGGCAAAATCAGTTTGTTTTGTGATGAATGAGCCATTTGATTCAATGAATGATGGAGCTGAGTTTGCCTTTTTTCCCAAAATTTCATTTAAGGTGCTCCAAAGCTGTTTACTACCATTCTTTATGTCATTTATCCTTGTTTCATAGTGTTGTTTCTTCTTCTTTTTATTCAGTATAGTCACATTCTCAATTTGCAATACGTTTGCTAATCGGTTGTGCAGCCAGACTTATTTGCCATTCCTTTTGCCTCATCCCTCTCAACCATACAATTTTTTAATTCCTTATCAATCCACAGGGATTTAACAGTTTTTACAGTCATTTTCTTAATGGGTGCCTGCTTATTAGTAACTGGAATAAGCAATTTCATAAATGTCTCAAGTGCAGTTTCTGTTTGCTCCTCATTACACACCACGGACAAACATATATTCTTTACATCAACAACATAGGAATCACTACAAAACTTATTGTATGACCTCTTATACAACATGTTTGGTTTTCCTAGATATGGCTACTATATTGTGATCACTACATCCAATGGATTTGGATACTGCTTTCAAACAAATTTCTGTAGCATTAGTAAAGATATGATCAATATATGTTGATGATTTAATTCCTGTACTGTTTGTAACCACCCCTGGTAGGTTGACTGATAACCTGAACCAGGTTGCAGGCACTGGTTACAGTTTGAAGCTTTCTCTTGAGTGGGCAGCCTGATGACAGCCAGTCAATATTACAGATTCCGGGACAAGAGATAGTGGTTCTAGCTGGTAAAAGTTAACTGCGATGCAGAATCCATGCAAAAACACGTTTGGATATAGAGAGAGAGATGGATATGAGGCCCTGTGGCCAGAACAGGCCTGTCTATGCTGTTTTAGAGAGAGAGATGGATATGAGGCCCTGGGGTCAGAACAGACCTGTCTATGCTGTTGTAAAGAGAGAGATGGATTTAAGGCCCTTTGGTCAGAACAGGCCTGTCTATGGTGTTGTAAAGAGAGATATGGATATGAGGCACTGGAGTCTCAGGTGAGCGTTGCTCCACACTTCTTCTGGATGCCGGAACCACTCATCAACCGCAGGAACTTCGGTCTGGCTCGGGGTCCACGGATCCAGGGCCGGCTGAAAACCCAGAACATGCTGGAAGGCGGTCAACCTAGTGGAGGAGAGCAGTAGCGAGTTCTGGGTGTACAATGCCCATGGAAGAAATCGTGCTCACTCACTCTGTCGGTCCTGACAATGACTCCTCACGAACCTCCCCAGTTCCTGGTTCATCCTCTCCACCTGCCCGTTGGACTGAGACCGGTACCCGGAAGTGAGGCTGACCGTGATCAAGAGCTTCTCCATGAAGGCCCTCCATTCTTGTGATGTGAATTGGGGGCCACGGTCGGAGACGATGTTGTCCGGAAGGCCATAATGCCGGAAGACTTGCTGGAATAGTGCCTCAGCAACCTGGAGAGCAGTTGGGAGACCAGGAAGAGGGATTAAACGACAGCACTTAGAAAATCTATCCAATACCACCAAAATGGTGGTGAAACCATCAGAGGAGGGGAGATCGGTTACAAAGTCACTGGATAGATGTGACCAGGGTCGCTGAGGCACGGGAAGCAGCAGGAGCTTCGCTGCTGGAGCGTTCCAGTGGGACTTGGTTTGTGCACATACTGAACAGGAGTTGACATAGTGAGTGAAGTCCTGCGCTGTGGACTGTGGACCACACAGTATTTCCCAGAGATGAATTGGGTAGTGCGAGAAATACCTGGATGTCCAGCGATGACAGCTGTGTGTGCCCAGGTCAGCAGCCGGTCCCTTATCCCTGTGGGAACGTAAATGTGCTCGGGAGGACAATTAGTGGGTGTGGGCTCCCTCTCCAGAGTCTGGTGGATGTCCGCATCTGCGTCCCAGGCCACAGGAGCTCCGACTCAGGGGAGGATGGAATTATAGGCGCATTCTGGACAGGACCCTCCCCTGAATCGTAGAGACGGGACAGAGCATCAGCCTTCGTGTTCTTAGAACCTGGGCGATAGGTCAGCGTGAAGTCAAACCTTGTGAAGAAAAGGGCCCACCTTGCTTGGCGCGAATTCAGTCTCCTCGCTGTCCGTATGTACTCCAGGTTCCGATGGTCGGTGAGAATGACGAATGGTTCCTTGGCGCTCTCCAGCCAGTGTCTCCACTCCTCTAATGCCAACTTCACCAGACAGAAGGCCTCGTCGGCTGCTGGGCTCCACTCTAACCTACGGGGCCCTCCTTTAAGGAGAGAGTTGAGAGGAGTGGCAACAGAGCTGAAGTTCCTGTAGAAGTTGGCAAACCCCAAAAACAGTTGTAACCCCTTAAATGTGGTTGGAACTGGCCATGACCTGACTGCATCTACCTTCTTGTCGTCCATCCTCACTCCCTGTGTGCTGATTTGGCAGTCTAAGAAGGAGACCGTCCTCTGGTGAAATTGGCACTTCTCAGCCTTGACGAACAGGTCAAGGTGGTGTTCCAGGACTGCTCGAAAGTGAATGATGTGATCCTCCAGGGTAGCCGTGTAGATCAGGATGTCATCGATATACACGACCACCTGGCGTCCGAGCATGTCCCTGAACACCTCGTTAACGAATGCCTGGAACACTGACAGAGTATTGGCTAAGCCATATGGCATCACCAAGTACTCGTAGTGACCAGACATCGTACTAAATGCCGTCTTCCACTCATCCCTCTCTCGGATACGGAGACCACAGATCCAGTTTGGGAAAGAACAGGAATTTTGTTAAGTCCTCTGTAGTCAACGCAGGGACGTAAACCTCCATCCTTCTTGGCCATGAAGAAGAAACCAGCCGACGCAGGGGAAGTGGACGTGCGGATGAAACCTTGTTGGAGCGCCTCTTGGACGTAATCCTCCATGGCCTGGGTCTCAGCCACCGACAGAGGGTAAATGCGTCCGCGCGGAGGTGCATAACCTGAATAGCAGGTTGATGGCACGGTCCCAGGGGTGATTAGGAGGAAGACAGGTGGTGCGGGTCTTGGAGAATACCTCCCACAGGTCCTGGTATACCTCCGGGATGTTGGGCTGAAGGGCAACCACAGGACTCTCAACCGACGTGGAACCACAGGGCACTCCGGCATTCGGGTGACCAGTCTGTAATTCTCATTCTTGACCATGAGATGGTAGGGTTGTGGTGTCGAAACCAAGGGAGGCCGAGGATGATCTTGTGGACTGGTGCACTGGTAATGAAGAAGGGAATGTTCTCCTGATGAATGGACTCCACTGTGAGGGTGAGTGGTTGAGTGATGTGGGTGACGGTTCCGGAACCTAAAGGCCGACTATCCAGGGCTTGAACTGGAAAAGGAGAGGAGAGCAGCTATGAGTTGATGTTAAGAGAGAAGGCAAGGGTCTGGTCAATAAAGTTCCCCACGGCACCGGAATCCACTAATGCTGTAGATACAGTACACGAGGGACAGTCAGATAGTGTAATGGACACCAAAAAGAGCCTAGTAGACAGTGATGAAGATGGAATACTCACTCCTGTCCTAGGGGGGTGGAAGATCATGTGACCGTCCCTCTGCTCTTGTGGATCCCGGGTTCGGACATGCCGAACACCTCTGGAGCTTGTGACCTCCTTGTCCACTGTACAGACAGAGCCCCAGCTGTATCCATGCCGCGAGAAGACGAGTGACCCCGACCTCCATGGATTCAGACTCCGATCCCGAGTGTTCACTGAGGGAGGGAGAGAAGCGATGAGAGTACCGGCGCTCCCGAAGTAGGTTATCTAGATGGCTGGCTATCGCAATGAGTGTGTCCAAGTTGAGGTTGTTGTCTCGACAGGCCAGTTCTGTCTGAACCTCTTCACATAAACCTCTTCTAAGTAGCGTACGAAGAGCCGGCTCATTTCATCCACTGGATGCTGCTACTGTCCGAAAGATGAGCGCGTGCTCAGCAGCTGCCTGGTTCCCCTGCTATAATTGCTGTAGCCGCTCACCTCCCTCTCTGCCCTCCGGGGGATCAGAAATACATTTAAACCAAGCCATGAACCCCTCATAAGAATCAAGTTCCACCTCTCCTCTCTCCCAGACGGCCGTAGTCCATTCCAACACCCGCCCAGTCAGCAGAAGAATCACCGTGGCAGCCTTGGACCTCTCGGTGGTGGGAGCTCCCCTCTGATGGGTAAAATAAAGGGAGCACTGAAGTTGGAAGCAACAGCATTTGGATGGTGTACCATCATATTAATCCGGGAGGGATAAATGGGCATTGCTGACCTGAGCGGGTTACTGAATGGGCTGATGTGCTGGCTCGCTGGGTCGACTGGTTGTAGAGTATCCTCCGCTGATGAAGGCAACGCCTCCTGGGTGTGTTTGGGGTTGGCGGAAACCTATATGACCCAACGAGTCACAGTTTCACATCAGAATTAGATGTTGATCCACGTTCCTCCAAACGTTTCATTTTGAAGTTGCTCCAACTGTCAAATTTGTGTTTTTGACACCCTAGGTTGACTCCTCCTGTTCAGAATCGTTCCGTTTCTCCAAATTTCGAAGTTGCTCCATATGTAATATTTTGAAGGTTTTGGGATAGGGTTAAACCATGTTTGGGCACGTATTCCCAATGGTTAAGGTAAGAGTTGAGAAAAACCAGTGTCCACCATTGTGGATCGAACACGCAACCTTCTGATTACGCCCATTTGCCACCCCCAGTCCACAACACAATAGCAAAACCCAAGCCTTCTTAATGGTTATAGGGCTCACTGTTGCCCCTAGTGGCTGGGTTTTGAAGGCATTTCCTGACGTCCTCAGGACATCGATAGACTTCCAATTTCGGAGTCAATCTTGAGCGATGTGCTTGATCCGGCCATCTATTAGAGGCGAACAGTCCAGCCCAGAGCCCATCCATCTCCCCTTCCCACCCAGCCCAGAGCCCATCCATCTCCCCTTTCCACCCAGCCCAGAGCCCATCCATCTCCCCTTCCCACCCAGCCCAGAGCCCATCCATCTCCCCTTCCCACCCAGCCCAGAGCCCATCCATCTCCCCTTCCCAACCAGCCCAGAGCCCATCCATCTCCCCTTCCCACCCAGCCCAGAGCCCATCCATCTCCCCTTTCCACCCAGCCCAGAGCCCATCCATCTCCCCTTCCCACCCAGCCCAGAGCCCATCCATCTCCCCTTCTCACCCAGCCCAGAGCCCATTCATCTCCCCTTCTCACCCAGCCCAGAGCCCATCCATCTCCCCTTCTCACCCAGCCCAGAGCCCATCCATATCCCTTTCTCACCCAGCCCAGAGCCCATCCATCTCCCTTCCCACCAGCCCGAGCCCATCCATCTCCCTTCTCACCCAGCCAGAGCCCATCCATCTCCCCTTCTCACCAGCCCAGAGCCCATCCATCTCCCCTTCTCACCCAGCCCAGAGCCCATCCATCTCCCCTTCCCACCCAGCCAGAGCCCATCCATCTCCCCTTCCCACCCAGCCCAGAGCCCATCCATCTCCCCTTCCCACCCAGCCCAGAGCCCATCCATCTCCCCTTCTCACCCAGCCCAGAGCCCATCCATCTCCCCTTCTCACCCAGCCCAGAGCCCATCCATCTCCCCTTCTCACCCAGCCCAGAGCCCATCCATCTCCCCTTCTCACCCAGCCCAGAGCCCATCCATCTCCCCTTCTCACCCAGCCCAGAGCCCATCCATCTCCCCTTCTCACCCAGCCCAGAGCCCATCCATCTCCCCTTCTCACCCAGCCCAGAGACCATCCATCTCCCCTTCCCACCGAGCCCAGAGCCCATCCATCTCCCCTTCTCACCCAGCCAAGGCTGACACTGTTTGTAAGACTTTATTTTCCTCTCTGTATGCTACAGGAGGGCAAGTGTCACTGGCTGCCTGGCATAGGGGTGAGTGTGTGTGTGTGTGTGTGTGTGTGTGTGTGTGTGTGTGTGTGTGTGTGTCTGTGTGCATGTGTGTGTGAACATGTGTGAAAAAGTGTGCAGTGTTTGTGTGTATGTGTTTGTGTGTGTGTGTGTCTGTGTGTGTGTGTGTTTGTGTGAACATGTGTGTGAAAGTGTGCGTGTTTGTGTGTGTGTGTTTGTGTGTGTGAACATGTGTGTGTAAGTGTGCGTGTTTGTGTGTGTGTGTATGTCTGTGTGCGTGTGTGTGTGAACATGTGTGTGAAAGTGTGTGTGAAAGTGTGTGTGTGTGTGTTTGTGTGTGTTTGTGTGTGTGTGTGCGCATGGTGGGTGGATGTCTATATGTTGCGTGCTGTGTGTGTGTGTGTGTGTGTGTGTGTGTGTGTGTTTAGCAAGAGAGGAGGAAACTAGCAGCTAACAGACACAGTAACGGCAGTGTGTGTTTACAGTTCATTAAAACAGGTTTGCATTAGTCAGCACGTACGCACACACACACACACACACACACACACATACACACACACGCACACACACACACACGTGTGTGATTATTGACTGCAGAGACTTCGAAGTGTGTGTACATTTACCGACTTCCAGTGTGTGTGTGTGTGTGTGTGTGTGTGTGTGTGTGTGTGTGTCTGTGTGTGTGTGTCTGTGTGTGTGTAAGTACAGACTTACAGACCTTTTTAATTCCCTTAACTAAAAGTCAACCGTCAGACAGTATCGAGCTGACTTAAAGGTGAGGGAAACATGAAATGCCATCAATAATAAACCATAAAGCACTGAGCATCATCCAGTCTCATGTTAACTGTCAGCCCAAAGACCCACTGGGAGCTCACAGGCCCTGAAGAAGCTGATGAGTGGTGAACCCTCAGGCACAAAATGGCTCCTGAGCTTAACGGCTGCTTCTCACCATAGGTGTTGGGTCATGTTAACTGTCAGACCACTGGGACTATAGAAGCGGATGTGTGGTGAGCCCTCTGGCACAAAATGGCTCCTGAGCTTCACCCAAGGCAATTGGTGGTTGGATAGTTGTGTGGATGATTTGAGGATGCTTTGTCACACTTTACATTAAATCGGTTTTTAAATAAAGTTTTGTACAAACCACTGGAATAACATAGTATTTGCATTAGTCTATGAATAACGAATACGATTCATTTTTTGTAAGAAATATGTAAGAAATACCTGGTAAAAGTTCATACATGCTATTATTATATACTGTTAGAATTATATACTGTTAGAATTCTGACCGCAAGGCGCTACAGAGGGTAGTGTGTACGGCCCAGTACAACAATGGGGCCAAGCTTCCTGCCATCCAGGACCTCTATACCAGGCGGTGTCAGAGGAATGCCCCAAGTCATAGAAAGTTCTCTCTGCTACCGCATGGCAAGCGGTACCTGAGCGCCAAGTCTAGGTCCAAAAGGCTCCTTAACAGCTTCTACCCCCAAGCCATAAGCATGCTGAACAATTAATGAAATGGCCACCCGTACTATTTACTTTGACAGTAAATATTTTCTTAACACTATTTCTTGAACTGCATTGTTGGTTAAAGGCTTGTGAGTAAGCATTTCACGGTAAGGTCTACATCTGTTGTATTTGGCGCATGTGACTAATAAAATAAAATGTGATTTGATTTGATACCCAATTGAAAGGAAAAGTGTACTGAATTGCTGTTGGTAACTTTCCAGTATTTAATACATCTTAGCGTAGTAGGGTGACAGCCTGAGCTTTTGAAAGTTCCATGATCCAAACAAAGCAAACAAAGCAATATGAAAATGCTATTATAGAATGAAGAGGAGCTCACTGAAAGAAGACTATTCTCTTTCTCTCCTCTCTCTCCTCTCTCCTCAGCCTCTCTCTCTCTCTCTAGTCTCATCTACAAGATATATGAATGCGAAAGATGATCACCAGCTCTGCAATAAAGAATACCTCGGGAGGATACCTCCCATGACTAAACGGGCTCTGTCTCTTTCTCTCTCTCTCTCTCTCCTCTCTCTCTCCTCTCATCCTCTCTCTCTCTCTCTCTCTCCTCTCTCTCTCTCTCTCTCTCTTCACTCTCTTCTCTCTCTCTCTCTTTATGTGTCATGTTACATGTCATGTTATTCTGTACATTCTACAGTACACTACCTCATGTCAACACGTTTGTCAAACGTTTGGACAGCTACTCATTCAAAGGTTTTTCTTTATTTTTACTATTTTCTACATTTTAGAATAATAGTGAAGTCATCAAAACTATGAAATAACACATATGGATCATGTTGTAACCAAAAAAGTATTTTATATTTGAGATTCTTCAAATAGCCCCCTTTTGCCTTGATGACAGCTTTGCACACTCTTGGCATTCTCTCAACCAGCTTCATGAGGTAGTCACCTGGAATGCATTTCAATGAACAGGTGTGCCTTCTTAAAAGTTAATTTGTGGATTTTATTTCCTTCTTAATGTGTTTGAGCCAATCAGTTGTGTTGTGACAAGGTAGGGGGGGTATACAGAAGATAGCCCTATTTGGTAAAAGACCAAGTCCATATTATGGCAAAAACAGCTCAAATAAGAAAAGAGAAACGACAGTCCATCATTACATTAAGACATGAAGGTCAGTCAATACAGAACATTTCAAGAACTTTGAAAGGTTCCTCAAGTGCAGTCACAAAAACCATCAAGCACTATGATGAAACTGGCTCTCATGAGTACCAGCCTCAGAAATTGCATCCAAAATAAATGATTCACAGAGTTCAAGTAACAGACACATCTCAACATCAACTGTTCAGAGGAGACCGTGTGAATCAGGCCTTCATGGTCGAATTGCTGAAAAGAAACCACTACTAAAGGACACCAATAAGAAGAAGAGACTTGCTTGGGCCAAGAAACATGAGCATTGGACATTAGACTGGTGGAAATGTGTCCTTTTGTCTGCAGTCCAAATTGGAGATTTTTGGTTCCAACCGCCGTGTCTTTGTGAGTGCTGCATCAGATGACCTGGCCTCCACAATCCCCCATCCTCAACCAAATTGAGATGGTTTGGGATGAGTCGGATGGCAGAGTGAAGAAAAAGCAGCCAACAAGTGCTCAGCATATGTGGGAACTCCTTCAAGACTGTTGGAAAAGCATTCCAGGTTAAGCTGGTTGAGAGAATGCCAAGAGTTTGCAAAGCTGTCATCAATGCAAAGGGGAAGAATCTCAAATATAAAATATATTTTGATTTGTTTAACACTTTTTTGGTTACTACATGTTTCCATATGTGTTATTTCATAGTTTTGATGTCTTCACTATTATTCTACAATGTAGAAAATCGTAAAAAATAAATAAAAAATATAACTTGAATGAGTAGGTTGTCCAAAGTTTTGACTGGTACTTTACATAAAGGTAGGTGTCAAGTGACTATTCATAGATAATAAATAGCGAGTAGCAGCAACGTAAAAAAGGGGGTCAATGCAAATTGTCCAGGTAGCCGTTTGATTAACTGTTTAGCAGTCTTATGGCTTGGGGGTAGAAGCTGTTAATGGAGCCTTTTGAACCTAGACTTGGCGCTCCGGTACCACTTGACGTGCAGTAGCAGCGAAAACAGTCTGACTAGGGTGGCTGGAGTCTTTTACCATTTTGAGGGCCTTCCTCTGCCACCGCCTGGTATAGAGGTCCTTGATGGCAGGAAGCTTGGCCCCAGTGATGTACTGGGCTGTACGCACTACCCTCTGTAGCGCCTTGTGGTCAGTTGCCGAGAAGTTGCCATACCAAGTGGTGATGCAATGAGGCAGGATGCTCTCGATGGTGCAGCTGTAGAACTTTTTAAGGATTTGAGGAACCATGCTAAATCGTTTCAGTTTGCTGAATAGGCGTTGTTATGAGGGCATGACTGTCTTGGTGTGTTTGGACCATGATAGTTTGTTAGTGATGTGGACTTGAAGCTCTCGACCCGTTCCACTACAGCCTCATTGATGAGAATGGGGGCGTGCTCAGTCCTCTTATTTTTCCTGTAGTCCACAATCATCTCCTTTGTCTTGCTCACGTTGAGGGAGAGGTTGTTGTCCTGTCACCACACGGCCAGGTCTCTGACCTTCTCCCTGTAGGCTGTCTCATCGTTGTCAGCGATCAGGCCTACCACCGTTGTGTCGTCTGCAAACTTAATGAAGGTGTTGGAGTCATGCGTGGCCACGCAGTCGTGGGTGAACAGAGAGTACAGGAGGGGACTATGCACGCAACCCTGAGGGGCCCCCATATTGAAGATCAGCGTGGCAGATGTGTTGTTACCTACCCTTACCACCTGGGGGCGGCCCGTCAGGAAGTCCAGGATCCAGTTGCAGAGGGAGGTGTTTAGTCCAAGGGTCCGTAGCTTAGTGATGAGCTTTGAGGGTACTATGGTATTGAACGCTGAGCTGTAGTCAAAGAACAGCATTCTCACGTAGGTGTTCCTTTTTTCCAGGTGGGAAAGGGCTGTGTGGAATGCAATAGAAATTGCGTCATCTGTTGATCTGTTGGGGTGGTATGTAAATTGTAGTGGGTCTAGGGTTTCTGGGCTGATGGTGTTGATGTGAGCCATGATCAGCCTTTTAAATCACTTGCCTACAGACATGAGTGCTACAGAGTTTTTTTTTTTCTTCTCTGGTTGCACATGTGACACGCTGGTAGAAATGAGTTAAACATGATTGAAGTTTTCCTGCATTAAAGTCCCCGGACACTAGGAGCGCAGAATCTGGGTAAGAATTTTCTTGTTTGCTTATGGCCTTATACAGCTCGTTGAGTGCGGTCTTAGTGCCTGCATCGGTTTGCGGTGGTAAATAGACAGCTATTAAAAATATAGATGAAAACTCTCTTGGTAAAGAATGTGGTCTACAGCTTATCATGAGGTACTCTACCTCAGGCGAGCAAAACTTTGAGACTTCCTTAATATTAGAGATTGTTCACCAGCCTATTTTGACAAATAGACACAGATCACCACCCATCGTCTTACCGGAGGTTACTGTTCTGTCTTTCCGATGCACGGAAAACCCAACCAACTATATATTATCCATGTCCTCGTTCAGCCACGACTCTGTGAAACATAAGATATTACAAGTTTTAATGTCCCGTTGGTAGGATAGTCTTGAACGGAGCTCATCCAGTTTATTCTCCAGTGATTGCACGTTCGTCAGTAGGACAGATGGTAAAGGTAGATTATCCACTCGCCGACTAATTCTCACCAAGCACCCTGATCTGCGGCCCCCGTATCGGCGTCTCCTCTTCATGCGAATGACAGGGATTTGGACCTGGTCCGGGAGGAGCAGTAAATCTTTCGCCTCCTTTCTTTAAAGAAAACATCTTCGTGAGTAATCGCTGTTCTTATGTCCAGAAGCTCTTTTCAGTCATAAGAGACTGTGGCAGAAATATTGTGTACAAAAAAAGTTACAAAAAACTCACAGAATAGCACAATTGGTTGTGAAACGTAAAACCGTAAAACGGCTGCACCATTATTCCACTTTTTTACAATTTTCTGGTGTTTTGTTGTGGAAAACTGAACGGATCAAGCATAACCCTGTTACCCATAGATTGACTGAAATGTAAAACAAAAATCAATTGCCTTTCCCTTTTGTACATAACAAGCTTCCATCCCCCTGTCACAAGAGGATTTATAGCTGATTTAAGACACAATCATTAACCCTGCGGTCAACCCTGTTACTTTATTTGGCACTTACTATAGTCATTTTGTTATTTAACCTCTTGAGATGGGAAAAGTGTTTTTTAGAACATGTGCTCTTTATGAGAGAACGTAAACAATATTTCTTTATGAAGTTACACTACTCAAAAGGCACCTAATTGGTGGAACAACCCAGAAAGAGAAAAGAGAGAGAGAGAGAGAAAGAGAGAGACAGAGACAGAGAAACACAGAGAGAGAGAAATCAAGTGAGAGATAAAGTGAGAGAGAAGAGAGAGATTGAGTGAGAGAACAACAACCACAAAGTGAACAAGTAGGAGAACGAAGAGGTGTATCACCAGGGATGTTGAATATACAAAGTTTCGGGTATCCTTCCACAAGCTTCCCACAATAGGTTGGGTGATTTTTGGCCCATTCCTCCTGACAAACGCTGGTGTAACTGAGTCAGGTTTGTAGGACTCCTTGCTTGCACAACATTTTTCAGTTCTGTCCACACATTTTCTATAGGGGATTTGTGATGGCCACTCCAATACCTTGACTTTGTTGTCCTTAAGCCATTTTGCCACAACTTTGGAAGTATGCTTGGGGTCATTGTCCATTTGGAAGACCCATTTACGACCAAGCTTTAACTTCCTGACTGATGTCTTGAGATGTTGCTTCAATATCTCCACATAATGTTCCTTCCTCATGATGCCATTTATTTTGTGAAGTGCACCATTCCCTCCTGCAGCAAAGCACCCCCACAGCATGATGCTGCCACCCCCGTGCTTCACGGTTGGGATGGTGTTCTTCGGCTTGCAAGCCACCAACTTTTTCCTCCAAACATAATGATGGTCATTATGGCCAAACAGTTCTATTTTTGTTTCATCAGACCAGAGGACATTTCTCCAAAAAGTATGATCTTTGTCCCCATGTGCAGTTGCAAACCGTAGTCTGGCTTTTTTATGGCGTTTTTGGAGCAGTGGCTTCTTCCTTGCTGAGCGGGCTTTCAGGTTATGTCGATATAGGACTCGTTTTACTGTGGATATAGAAACTTTTGTACCTGTTTCCTCCAGCATCTTCACAAGGTCCTTTGCTGTTGTTCTGGGATTGATTTGCACTTTTCGCACCAAAGTACGTTAATCTCTAGGAGACAGAACACGTCTCCTTCCTGAGCGGTATGACGGCTGTGTGGTCCAATGGTGTTTATACTTGCATACTATTGTTTGTACAGATGAACGTGGTACCTTCAGGCGTTTGGAAATTGCTCCCAAGGATGAACCAGACTTATGGAGGTCTAC